GGGGTGGACGCCGGGGACCCGGGTGACAGGTTCGCAGGAGACCTGGCTGCATTCCTGCCACTTTCCTCTCAGCCTGAAACGACTTTGGCGTCCAAGGTTACGAAGACAAAAGAGCCACCTCGGGGTGGACGGGCCTCTTCTCGCTGGTTTGCAGCGTGGGGACTGGGAGTCCAGTCCACTCCCCCTCCAGTGAGTGCTCACCAGTTGCCGCGGTGACAGGGGACCGTCCCAGCTTTGGGAGAAAGGAAACGGCCCGGAGGCTTCCGGCCGAGCCCGTCTCCCCGGGGCGCCTGCACCTCCAGATTCCCGAAACTCACCGCGCCCGAGACCGAACACGGCATGACCTCCCCCCACGACGTCCCCCGCAATCCCCCCAGAACCTGGACCTCCTCAGCGGTGTCTGGCACGGCATCCTAGCCCCACAGTGATGAACGGGGGAGGGAGGGGGCCTGCCACCCCACCTGTCACCTGCCAGGTGCCGCCGACCAGTGCGCGGCAGCGGCATCCCCTCCTACACAGCTCAGGGGCCCGTGTGCCTCTCTCCACAGCCACGGGCCCTGCCCGGCCAGCCTCACTCAGCAGCCAGAGATCTTCCCCAACCCGCCTCCCATCACGTCACACCCCCGTCCCTCGCCACACTTCGGCGGCGCCCTGCTGCATCTGGAAACAAAGACCCTTTTTTTCCCCGCGTAACACTTGCTTGAATTCAGGGACACCCTCACGCCGGTGACCGTTCGGTTCATGGCGGACACCCCAGCCGCACAGTGAGCGCCCCTGGGTTTGCCCACCGCGGCACGCACGCAGCTGGCACTCAATTAATATTTGTTTAATTAGGTGGATAAGCAATTCGAATAATTAACGTCTGGCTTGGGCCAGTGAATGGAGAGTGGTGCCGGTCACTGCCACAGAGGGCCGGGGCCGGGGAGGACGGGCAGGGGGTGTGGCTTCGCGGAATCTGCGGGGGTGGGGCGCGGGGTGCGGGCGCCGGGCAGGCCGCTGCACACAGAGGCCTGAGGCCTGTGAGGCCGACCTGTGCTGCGGCTGCGGGCCCCTTTGCTCTGCCGGTCGGCCCGGACTGCAGGGGTCGGCACCGTCTTCCTCTCTATGGTCACCCGCATGCAGCGGTCCCCACGCGGCCCGCGCTGGAGTCGGGCGGAACAGGCTCGTGGCGGACGTCCCGGACTCAGCGCTGGGCCCGGCACCCTTTGTGGGGTGGGGGTGGCGGCGCAGGCAGGGGGTGCTGGGGAAGGCTGGCCCCACGCGACCGCAGGCCCCACGCGACCGCAGGCCCCACGCGACCGCAGGCCCTCTGGGGCAGCGCACTGCTGGGACGGAGGGGGCACAGCTGCCCTCCTTGACCACACCCGTGCGTTCCGTCCTCTGGCGAACCTGGCACCCAGCGCGCGCATCGATGATGCCAGAAGATTCCGGGCTCGGCCTCGTTCCGAACTGCTCATCTGATGGGAGGAGCATCGGCGCTGCTCTAAAAATAATTTCTTTTTAAAAATCTTGCTGTTCTGTTAGTTCACATGTAAATGAACTTCCGCCACAGAAACTGTAATCATCGGAAAAGTCTCGTGGTGTTTGTGAGGCCGCCACGCGGTTTTTCTTACCCTGGAGGGGGGGGCGGTCACCCCTTCAGGCTCTGCCCCCCCGCGCCCCCTGCCGCCCCCAGCGCTCCAGGGCGGCCCACCGCCGCTGCCCAGAGGCCCGGGGACCAGGGCCCCGCGACATCGGGGGGTGGACGGCTCTGCATGGTGGGCGCAGCTGTGCGCACCCTGAGGTGTTCAGCGGCGCCCCTGCCTCAGCCTCCGAGATGCCACCCCACCCACCTGCGCCAGGTCCTCAGAGGCCCGGCCGCGGGCTCAGGCGGCAGTCCGTCCGGGGTGAGGAAGCAAACGCCCCCGGGAACGGCGGTGCGTAAACCTGTGGGACGGGACCGCACCTCGCGGGTCTGGCTGCCTCCGCCCTTGGACTCGGCCCTCGGGCCCACGTCTGCGCGGGGCGCTGGGGCCACTGTCTGCCCCCCCCCCCCGCTCACGCGTGGGTTCAGGGGCGTTCCACTGAACTTCCTTCCAGGCAGGAAGTGGCCCCACTGCACAGGCAGAGAGCTTCCGGGGCCACAGGGGGTCACCGCAGGGTCCCGAGGAGCGCCTGGCGTCTGAACAGGTCCCTCCTCTCCTGGGGCCCCACCCAGACCCCAGCAGGCCCGCCACAGACTGGCTCTGGGAGGCCCTGGGGCCGCCCACCGAGCTCGGGTTCAGGCCCAGCGGACTGCCCCAGACCCCACCCCTGACCTGAGCACCCGAGCCCTCCCTGCCTGCTCTGTAGCAGGGCCTTTCCTTCCCCACCCGTGGGAGAGAAGCTGGGACCCCCAGACCCATGCAAAGACACCCACCCTGTTCGTGAAGCCCTCCCGGCTTTGCACCTGGGGCAGGAGTGACCGCTGGGACCGGTCTACGGCCACAAAAGGCAGGCGCAAAGGACGACGTGCTCGCTGAGCCCTGGGGACCGGCCAGCCAGGTGTCTGCCTGCGAAATCTGCCCTCAGCCCAAGGAGGTCGGGCGGACCGCAGCCAGTGACCTCAGGGGTCTGGGACAGTCCGTGGCACCTGGGGTTGGGGAGGCCACGTGGAGGAGGGGCCACAGAGCATGCCCGGGTCGCGCACAATTCCCCGTGGTCCTGGGTCTGAACTGGCACCGACCCCTCGTGCTTCGGTCACAAAAGACCGGGGCGGCCCTGGTCCCGGAGACGCAGCCCCCACCCCCCGCCCCCAGCCTGCACTGTGTCAGTCCACCTGCAGACGCCCGGCACACCTCCGACCAATCCAAACCCCCAATGTTTCCCATCCTCGGAGCTGCTGACGTTCACCCAGAGAGGAGACAAAGGAAGTGACCCAGAGACACGGAGCAGAGACGCCAGGGGACTCTGCTGTCCAGTCTAGAGGACACAGGGGTCCCTGTCCAGAGAGAGTCGAGAAAATCGGCCAGCACGACAGCAGCAGTGACCAACGAACGTGCCTGGAAAGAGGGAGGGGCCAGAGGCCACCGGTGAGGGGGCCGGGGCCCCCCAAACGCCAAGAGGAAAACATCCGGGAGCAAAACCCTTTTTTTCCCCAGAGGCCCTCCCCGCCCCCAGAGTAACGGCTGGGATCCTAACCTGAAACACACCCAGGGGACCTAGGGGAGGCAGGTCGGAAGTGCACACCTGGCTCATGTCTCCTGAATGACACGAAAGTGTGTCGCCTCCTGCCTCCTGCGCCGCCGACCAGACCCGGAGTGACGGGAGCCTGCTGGTGGGCAGGGTGGGCTGGCAGCGCTCGCGACCCCGGCAGGTCGGGGAGCAGAGGGGACAGGCTCTGGCCTTCGTACCCCGGGCGCAGAAGAGCCACAGAAACAAACGCCGGTGCCTCTCTGCCCATTTGCCTGTGTTGACTGAGCTCTTCCTCTTTGTGAGGAAACGATCTCCGGGCAGCGGGGGCGTTCCGGCCACATGCCGGGGTGTCCTGGCTGCGGGTGAGTCTGAAGTCTCGCTGGGCCTCAACCCCAGAGCCGTATCCCTCCAGAGAGACTCCAGCTTCTCTCTCGCAGAGGAAGTTAGGGGTTCGCTCCGGGCAAGGACAGTGCGCCCCACAGACCTCGGCGTTGCCGCAGGGGGCAGGCTGGTCAGAGAGAAGGTGGCGGACAAGAGGAAAGGGGAGCCCACACAGAATGTCACTGGAGAAGCTGCCGCCAAGGTCAAGATCTCTGGTACCTGTGCCAGCGGAGGAGAGGAGTGAGCGTCACCGTCCGGCCATCGGGCCAGGGGCTGGCCGAGACCGAAACCAACCCGGCAGCCGCCCCACGTTCACCCTGCAGCTCTCAGGACAGAGTGGACAGAACAGCGCTGAGCAGACGGGATGGCGTCCGCATGTGTCTGTGTTTCTCCGGCTTTATTCCTATTTCCACGGTAAACCTCTGTTGGACTGAAATCTCTCCATGCGACTTGCTTGACTTTTTCTCATGTCCTAACCCTGAAATCTCTCCATCCATTATTGATGTTTAAGCTGCGGATCGGGCCGGAGTCACAGGTCACCGCCGCGGGCAGAGGGGCCCGGCTGTGTCTCCAACCCGCCGCCTCACGCACCCACTCGGTGCCCCGGATGGAGAAGCCCTAACCTGTCTTTGCAAGACTCATCATGGCTGTTCCAGAAGCTTCCTCCTTGGAACCACTCAGGTTCCTCACCTCCATGCCCCACCCTCGTGCCTCCCCCCGCGACCCTTACCCCAAATCTCAGCAGCACCGGGTCCGGGCTCCTCCACCGCCCCCTTCTTCCCCGTTCCAAGCGGGGCCGCTGGTCCCAGCCCGGCACCTGCCGCCCGTGTTCCTGACACAAACGTGGCCGACCAGTTACACCTTCCAGAATCCTGGTCGCGTGCCTTCCAGCCCGACACCTGTGAGGCGGGCCCTTCCCGTGGAAGGAGCCGGTCCTCCCAAGCCCTCCGAGGCCTGGCCACAGCCACTCAGGTCTGAGAAACCCACCTGCTCCCCCTTCCACCCCCAGCGCCCCCGCTCGGAAACGGCATCCGCGCTCCCAGCAGGCCCGCCTGCACTCCCTGCACCGCCCCCTGCAAGTCCCCTCAGCCCCTGGCTTCGCGCATTCACACCATCGCGTTTTTCAAAGTCTGGTTCTGACGGACAATGTCTCCCAAAGCCGTCCTTTAGGCGGATGGGACCCTGCACTCCTAACCTTCCGACCACAGGGTTCACCCCACCCCACCCCACCCCACCCTGCAGGCAGGCCTCCGAGTGCCCCTGCGAACTCCCAGGGACCCGGCGCCAGCCTGCCGGCGGCGGTCACCGCTGAACAGCACAAACTTCGGAGCAGTCGCGCCCCCCCCCCCCGCCCCCCGCTCTCGGCCCCCTCAGGCGGTCCTCCGCTCAGACAGGGCACTTCCCCACCGAAACAGGATGTCCTGGCTACAGTTGCATAACAGGTGAGTATTCCCACCCGCCCGTGAGCTCTTTCCACTCCCCAACTCCGCGGGAGCGAGCTGTGGTCACAGACCTGTGGATCCGAGGACAGGAGCCCAGGAGGCCGGGACGTCGGGTCTGTGCGCTTGTAACACGCATGGAACACGGGGACACACAGGGGCCCGTGGTGAGGGCGCCAAGGACCAGGTGGGCGGGGAGAACGGGCTGCCCTGCTGGGTCCCAGCTCCAAACTTTCCCTCCCCCAGGTCCCCGCGCGCGACGACAGAGGCCGAGAGCCCGGGCAGGGAGAAGAGTGACATTCTCGGAGCTTGGGGCCGGGGTCCTTTGGCCCTGCGGGGTCCAGGTACGCGAGGCCCGGCCGCGTTGGGGATACAGCCGCGATGCCGGAGCCCAGGCTGCGCGTGCTGACAGCCGCCCGGCCCCCCAGCTGCGCGCTCCCGGCCCGCTACTCACCCGGAGGGTTGACGGCCGCCGGGGTGGCCATGTCGCCGGAGGACGAGGAGGCCCTGCGCGCGGAGCCCGGGCGAGCGCGGCCCGCGCACCACACAAAGGCCGGCAGCTCCGCGGCAGCTCGCGCCGCCGCCTCTCCCGGTCCCGCCTTTGTCGCGCGCCGGGGGGCGCGGGTCCCGCCGTAGCACCGCGAGACTTGGATCCGCGGGCGGTGGGCCCCCCACGCTGGGGGCAGGGCTGCGGGGAGGCGCAGGTGCTGCGCGCCGGACCACGGCGCCCCCTCGCGCAGGCGCTGCTCAGCCCGCCCCACGCCCCGGGTCCGGGCGGAGGTGCGCGAGTGCCCTGCCCCGCCCAGCGCCCAGCGCCGGCAGCCTCCGGCGAGGACGCACCCTCTGCGCCTCCGGGTGGGATCCCTGAGGCCCGAGCGCTGAGGACCGTGCCGCACAGGCAGCGGCCGGGGGCCTGAGCCAGGCACTCAGCTCCGCTCTCTCCTCGCCTTGGGGACTGTCCGAGGCTATTGGTCGCAACTGCCTTATTGACCCAAGGAAACTGAGAATTTTAAAAAATACGTAAAATGGTTTTGTCTGCATAACCTGCTGGAGTCCGGCCGCAGAGAGCTCGGGGCGGGTGTTTTAGTGCAAGACCCGGGGGTCCCCCTGTGAGAAACCATGGCTCTTGAGCAGGAACCGCCACCACGGCGGGTGCCCCATGAAGGTGACCCGGAAGAGGAGTGCACCCCGGATGGGGGCCCAGCAGCAGCCCCTAACTCAGACACGCTCCCCAAAACACCAGGCTGCCCTAGATCCTCAAACAGGAAGCGTTCTGAGGGGTCGAGGCACAAAGTTGGGATGTATTTTCAAAAAAGCATGGTCTCCGGGCAGCATTTGTCATTATTGATCTGACTAATAGGCGCTTACAGATATTCATTTGTTTATCGATTCCACAGACTGTTGCCTAGTGCAAAGCGAGGTGTTGGGAGACCCGGGGCCAAAGCTGCAGCCTGGTCCTCCGTGGGCTTGGAGTGGGGGCGGGGGCGGGGGGCGGGGGAGGAGCCAAAGGCGGTACTTGCACTCAGGGTGCACACCGCTGCCTGGGGGCACCGGGCTCGCCCCGAGGGAGTGAGGGCAGAGGGCTGGCGTGACCAGGGGAGGTGGAAATGAGGCTCGGAAGCAATGAGCAGGACGTGGAGACGTGGAGAGAGGCGCTGAAGTGAAGACATGCGCGTGCACCTCCCGCGGCGGGACTGGGCCAGCCCAGGCCCAGGGGGGTGAGAGTGAGGCCGACCACGCAGGACATCTGCTCGGGAACCCCATCCTTGGGTTGGGTAGATGGGCCCTGGTGTCCCCGACATCGAGCCAAATGGCAAGTCAGCCCCTCTCCCCCCAGGCCCCAGAGGGCAACACGCTCAAATGCCCACGGGCACTTAACTCGCAGTAGACACGACTGAGGATTTCTGACGGCCGCTGCAGGAGACGGCACGCAGCTCACTGCACGTCAGAGAAGGTAGACACCCACCTGAGAGAACGTGGCTCCCGGGATTGGCTCCCTCTCGGGCCCGCTGCGTCCCCAGGGCTGCCCCGATCTGTCCCCAGCAGCCCCCGCTCCCCTGCCCCTCCTCCCTCGCAGACCTGTCCCTTCTCTGCCTTCACACGCCCGTCTGAGACAGGCAAGTCCCTCCCCTCGGCGTTTGCAGCCCCAACACCAGGAGCGGACCGTTTGGGTGTTGTCTCCAAATGTGTCTCTGATGTCCCCCCTGGAGTCCGGCGGGCTGTGGTTTTCGGGGAGTGGTCAGGAAGTCGGAATTTTAACAGAGAAGGCGACGTTTCGTCGTCTCCCCCCACCCCGCCGGGGGACTGCCCCTCAGAGGTACAAAGGACCTTTGGCCTCACCCAGTTCAGCCCTCAGAGTTTGCAGATAAGGGGACAGAGGCTCAGGGCAGAGAGGTGACCTTCCCAAGGTCACGCAGCTCAGGAGCTACGCAAGGCTTCCAACTGGGGTGCCCACAACGCTGGGACTAGGTGGCCTGAGTCGGGGTGGGGGTGCGAAGGGATGGGGCGGGGGCGATTTGGGCAGTCGATCTCTTTCTTGTCTGTCGGTGCTATGCAGGTGAGGACCCAGAAACATGGAGAATGGATGGGAGCCCCACTCTTGCTTGAGTCTGAGATGGAGCTGAACACCGAGGCGAATACCCGATACAGTGGGCTCCCGCTAATTACGAGGGTTAGTAGACTGTGACCAGCTAACAGGCTCAGGAATTCCACTCAACCTTGAAACAGCCTCGGGCTCTTTTATATTCCAAAGAGGATATTGAGTTGGAAGCTGAGATTTGCACTTAAAAAAAAAAATTAGCACAGACCCGCTGCTGGGCCCACAGCATGGGATCCTGGGCACCGTCCTCCCAGGAATGACCCTAGTCGCCAGCCCCAGTGCTGACACTGGGTGGGAGAGAGCAGTCCTTGGTGGGCGGCTTCCTATCCCTCTGATACGAGAGGCAGGACTTCCTCTGTGTAGAGTGTAATCATCGAGGAATTTTTATCTTCCCCTAACTCTGAGCACCGGAGCCCAGGAATGGGAGCGGGGCCTTGCTCCGCAGTGGAGGGCGTGGCCGGGCGAGCCGAGGGCTGCTGTAACCGCAGGCTTTGCTTCCCGCCGCCCGTGTCTCCCCCCACAGTCCCTTACCCTGCTCTTCCTGACCTCTCTGTCTCAGCTGGAGAGAGACGCCTGTCCGTCTCCCTGAGCTCCAGTGCCACCTCCTTACCTTTAGTTCAGCGCAGGCAACGACAGACCCCCGCGCTCTGTCTGGGACTCACATCTGAGGGGGACGCAATCGTAGTTCCACGCGGAAAAGCTCGCTCGCCGGCCTTGGCGGCTCACGGCGTGGGGCTTGCGCTCTGTCACTCCCTCCGTTGCCCCTGGAACTGTGTTACCGCCCGTCGGCCTCACTCTCCCCGTCTGTGAAATGGGGGTGTCCACCACTGTGCTCAGCCACGGTGGAGAGTAAATGGAATCTCCACGGGCAGGTGTGCTCCACACACACACACACTTTCGAGACTACAATGCCGAGAGAGACAGACAGACAGACAGTCCTGCCCGTGTGTCCGACTTCCCAGGGAAGACACGTGGAACGAGCCGATGGAAAACGCTAGAAGCAGAGGCTTCCACATTGGGCAGCCACCCAGGTGGGGCTGCAGGGTCGAAGGGTGTGTCACAGAGCCAGGCCCGACGGGTGTCTCGCTCCCCTCGGCCTCTCTGTGGTCTGCCGGGGTCCTCGCGCTCCCGCAGGCGAGGGGACAGGGAAGCCCCGGGAGGGTCTGGACGCACAGAGTCCCGGCGGGGGACGCAGAGGCTCCGGGGAGTGGGGCTGAGTGGACACAGGATTCCAGCCCCCAGGGCTGGGTCTCCCACGGGTGCCTGCCGTTCACTGGCCGGAGGACTGCTCCAGCCACGAGTGCCCCGGGGTCCCTCCTCCCCCCTCCTGGCCGTCCACGACCACTGGACGCCATCTGGAAGGGAGAGCCAGGCACGTGGAAAAGGTCTCTACTCTGCTCAGCACTCCACACGGCCTTTGTTTTCTCCAAGTGCGTGAGGAAGCTCTCGGCGGTGATGGTAACTACCCCTTGCCTCCGCTCAGCCCTTTCGGAGTTTTAAATCACTCGAACATCCTTATTCCGCAGGCTCCGGCGCCTTTGGTGAGGCCGCTCAGCGAAGGACTGCCGCATGAGTGCGATTATTCAGATTTTTAATAGATAACCGTGTTCCTGCTTGGGTGAGCCCGTTTTGGAAACCACCCTCACAGACGGCGACAATTTTTTTTTCCCAGTCCTAATGACATTCTCTGGACGCTTTAGCAGTTAATGCTAAAACTTTGTGCTTGTGCTCTTTTGTTACGTTATATATTAAAAAAGCGATTTTTGCTTGAAAGTGCCAAGTAAATTAATGGAGCCGGTTAATGATTCATTTCCCTTTCCAGGATATATTCAACATTCCTCTGGCGTCCACCCTGGTTACTCTGATACAACACGGCTAGACCAAGTTCATTATCCAAGCGACCGGTCTGGGACTGCTCAGCCATTAGCATACAAATTACCACAAGTGAAGGACAGGTGACAACACCTCCCCTTCCCGTAGGTCACCCCGTTAGAGGAAGAGCAGGCGCCTTTGTGCTGTATTTGGGGAACACGTCATCTGACTCGTTGAGGGGTTAGATTCTGGGCTTTTGAATATCTACCCACTGTAAACACAACCCCGGAATGTTACAGGTGAACCGCAAACGCTGTCCAGGACGAGCTGTAAAGGTGAACCTCAGGAACTAGCCGGTGCTCCCTGCTTCCCACTTAGGAAGCGAGGGTGGGGTGCGGGCGGGGTGGGCACCGCCGCAGCGCATCGGCGAGGCGGGCGACTGAGGGCCGGAGAAAGGGAAACAACCACTGTCACTCCACTGTTGTGTCTCCAAGTATAACACACCCACCCTCCCGGTGTTAGCAAGAAATCTGACCTTTCACAGGATCTCCTGCCCCCTCTCTGGGGGTCCTCGAGGAATTTGAATTTTCCACAAATCTGTCTCGGTTTCCTCTTGCCGCCCCAGGTGGCCGTCTTCCTGCACCATCTGGCCCAGAGGTCCCTCCAGATCAGCACCTGCCTCTGTCAGGGACCCTCCTAACTGGCCAAGCTGCTGGGCACGGCTGCCCACGCCCTGGCTGAGTCCTGGTCAGCCTTAAGGTAGGGCTCTGACCTCCTCATTTACAAAGGGCACTTCCTGTGGCTCAGCGGATGGAGTGCCGGCCGGCAAACCAAAGAGTCACTGGTTCGATTCCCAGTCAGGGCACATGCCTGGGTTGCAGGCCAGGTTCCCAGTAGGGGGCGCGTGAGAGGCAACCACAGACTGATGGTTCTCTCCCTCTCTCTTTCCCTTCCCCCTCTCTAAAAATAAATACGTAAAATCTATATATATTAAAAAAAGGGTACTTGCTGCTCCTTCCCATCCCTGGGACTGGGGCCGGACCCCAGGAGGATCTCCAGCTACTGGCCCAGAAGCTGGGTGCTCCGGAGACTGGCAGTTCTCTGTGCTCCTACTTCATCTGCCACATGTGTGCTGAAGGGCAACGACCGACGGCAAACCAAGCCAAACCGAGCAAACCACAGGGGCGCGTTGGAGCCCCTCGCCCGGCCTGCGTACCCCCACGTGAGCCTCCTCTACCCCGCACAGTCCACAGCCCCACTTCCTCCCAGCTCCCGGAGAGAGGGGAGCGTCCCTCCCTTCAGCCAGTTCAGAAGCCACCTCCGTTCCTGGTGGAAGCGCCCGGCTTCCCCAGAGGACTGAACAAAGTGGGCACACGCAGCCCCGCCCCGGCCTGCCGGAACGTGGGCCCCCCCCCCGACCGTCCCCGGGGCCTTGATGAGACAGGGAGAGACTGATGACAACACACCCCCAGAGCGGGGGGCCCCCTGTTGGGCTCCGCACCCCGGCTCTTAGCCAGTCTGTGCCGCACGGCCGGTAGCGCTGGCTGTGACATCACGGCGTCCGCCCGAACTCGGAGCGCTCACACGCAGACGCTTGGCTGCGTCCCGGGAACAGGTCACCCTGGGCCTCTCCGGCCGATCAAGATGACCTTGGAAATAGGGAACCCACGTGCCAGGGTTTTTTTTTTCTCCTCGTGGGATCATTTGCAAATTGGAACAATGGGCTCTTTCTGTCTCCTTTGAGAAATATTCATTATGTGAGACGAGACCTGGGCCTCGGGCCTTTTTCGAGAGTTTCAAGAGGAAGTCAGGTGGAACATCGAGATGCAAGATCGTGAGAGAGCCGGCGCCGAGTTGGGAGGAAAAAATAGAACAAGGTAGAAATCGGAGGTAAAGGGGGCGTCGGGTGAGACGTAAGCAGAAGAGTCTCTGCTTTTGCTCCCCGCAGTGTCCCCCCGAAACGTCGTGGCCCACGTTCAAGCACCCATCCCATCGTTTCGGCTCAGTGGCGACGGCACAGCGCAAACGCTGGCAAATACGTTCCGCGATTCCGGCTCAGTTGCACCTAAACCAGCTCAGCCCCCAAATTACCACGTCCTGCTCTCCCGGGGCACTGCCCCTGACGTGTTCCGGGACCCAGTCAGAGGCTTCTGGCCCCACTTGCTTGTTTTTCTGAGGGCAGGATGTGCAATAAAGGACATCACACTTCATTAGCCCGTCAACATAATCGCATCGGCATAGCCGTGACACCGGACGACAGGGTCCAATCTGAGAAATGAGACGATGAATTTAAAAATGCAAAAGAGCGGAAACAGGCTGGGATTGCAAGATGGCAGGCGCCCCCACGCAGGGTGAGTCTCGAATTCCATGCAGGATTGGCCGGCTCTTCGACCCCCGGTTGTGGGGAGGGGCGGACTCCAGGCTGGCCCACGCCTCACGGTTTGCGACCCCGACCCACCCACCTGCCCACCCGATTCATTCATCCCCTGAACAACCAACTCCAGGGTCTTCCATGATCCGAGGGTTTTGTGCACAGGGAAAAACAGACGTCAGCCAGCCCCTGTCATAGATAACGTGTGCTCCAAAAGGAAAAAGAGTCGGGCCACACACGGTCACGCCACCACGGATGGGAAACGGATGCGTGAGCCACAAGCGCCGCCGGAACTCGGAGGAAGAGGGAGCCCCTCACCTACCTGCCCTCGCTGGGTGGGCGTTCATGTAAAATTGTATGGTGGGCTTCTTGGAAATGAGCCAGCAAGCCAAGGTCCTCTCATTGTGCAGAGGAGGACACGGAAGCACAGGGAGAGAGATGAAATGACTCTTCTGAAGACACAAGGCCTTTACATGCAGCGCCAGGCTTCTGGCCAGGTTTTCTGGCTGGTTCCAGGCCCCGTCCTCTGTGCAGCTGGGGCCTCTGCCCAGTGTTCTTCTGGGGTTCGCGCCATTAATATTAATCGAGAGCGAGCAGGGCCCTGCTGAGCCTTTCATTCTTGTTTGAGCAGCTCTTGGGGGAACAGCACGGCCTCCCCTCATTAAAGCAACAGCCCACTTTTTCAGAAATGCAAAGAGGCTTCCTTTTCAAAATCAAGCCCACATTTTTAGAAGCGATAAACGAGTCTATGCACAATGATAGTCTCGTCGGCGTCCTGGCCTTGGATGTGTGACAGCCGAGACGGGGAACGGCCTGCAGGGGAGACCCGGCTTGAACCTCCGACCAGCTGGGTTACCCTTGGCCGGGTCGTGTCAACCCGGTCGGGTCAACCAGGTCAGGTCAGCCCGGTCGGGTCCACCCGGTCGGGTCAACAAGCTCACAGAAGTCCTGAGGGTGTAAGGACGGGCTCTCGCAGCCAGTGGGAGCCGACTCAGCACACCACCTGCTAGATGTTCTGTGTTGTTCATCCAAGCTCTGTTCTCTTCCTTCCCTTCTTTGTTCCTGTGTCAGGGGTTTCTCGAAATGGCCCAGCTCTGGCCCTCCACCATTTCTGCTCTGGCCTCTGACCCTTTGCTGCCCACTCCAGGTTTTCCTTCGAGTCCGAGTGCTGGGTGTGGCCTGAGCTGGACCTCCGGGTCTGTGCTTGCTGCCGACTCCCTCACTTCCCTACACAGGAAGATCTGGCACCGTTAAGAAATGAATGAAATCAGGACAGGTTCCTTTCCGCCTTTCATTCATGAATTACATTCCACAGGCCTCCCCCTTCTTGTTTCCAGCTGCAAAGGGAAGATATTGATCCTTGGAAGACGTCTAGGATTGGAAAATGCCCAAGAGCTCCGCAAAGAATGGAAGCACAGCCAAGCAACGCATCAGAAAGTGCTCTGTGGTGTTACATACAGACGTGCCTAAGACCCAAACGTCAGGGGCCAGGGGGCCGAGAACAGAGTTGATGCTTCTGTGTCGTTGGAGAAAAGCTGCCATGACTGTGATTCAGCTTTTTGAGCTGGAACTTCATAAAAATGCCTTCGCTCTTGGTTTCCATGGTTGTCCAGCGAGCAGAGTGAATGCCATTATGGGCAGCACAAAAGGCCGTTCAGAGCTCCCTCGGGGTGGGAGCCGTATTCCTTCTACTAGTTGCTTCTGTGGTTTTGGGCCGCTCCCCCGCTCAGGAGTCCGGAGGATGCCGGGGGGGGGGGGGGGCCACGGGAGCGTTTGCCCTCGGAATCCCGAGCTGCTTCTCTCTAAGTGAGGAGAACACCCGGGCCTGGGGGAGGACGCGAGGCCTCGCGATGGCCCGAAGCAGACAGCGGGGAAAGGGGCTCTGCCGGGTCCCTGGGTCTCCCCGCACACCCTCTCCTTCTGGGGCTCTTGGGCCACGGGGAAGGTCCCACCGCTGGTGCCACTTCTCCTCTCGGCCCCAGGCAGGTGGGCAGGTCCTGTCCACGGCCGGTGTCGGGGATGTGATGGGGGCAAAGGTCAGCGGTGGGGGCGTGAGAAAGGCTGTGAATTGACCCTGACGTCAAGGGTCGCCTGCGCCCTACTCCCCCTGAGTTGGGCCCCTCACAGCCTCCCCTCTGACCCAAGCAATGTCTCCAGCGAGCCGGCGGGGGCAACTCTCTCTTCTTGCACCTGCTCCACGAGCGATGCTTGTCCCCTCGCCTTCAGAGACAACGTGGACAGTTCCGACGGCCTTAACCTCTCTGTGCCTCGGTTTACTCATCGGTGAAACAGAGATGAGAGGGGTCGGCACGGCAGCCTCCTAAGAGGATGAAGCGCCTGACGTGCAGAAAGCATATTAACTGAGCTCCGGTGTCCCGTCTCCAACTGCCCACCCTAACGTCTGCGCGGACATCGAAGGAGGGTCTCCACGTCGTCACGGCCAAGCGGGACGTGCATCCCCACCTCCCGCACCTGCTCCTGCCCACGGCGGTCCTGCAGGTCGTGGCAGCACTGTCGTTCCTGCGGGTGCTCTGGCTGCCTCAC